AAGACTCTGGCATCTAACTCATAGTCTTCCTCTCTATTCAGGTCCACCATCTTCAGGTGACTTCACTGTCTACAGGACAACCCATCTAACACTCTGGTCTCCCAGTTCCCTCTTCTCTCATTTCCACTGAGCTTCCCCTCCAGTCTAGTTTAGCCATCCGCCCCTACATCCACACCCTAGGACTTAGCATCACCAGAAATCATTCTACCTCAGAAATTGCAAACACCCTCTCCATGACCATGGCCTCCTATCCTCTAATTCTCATATTCTGTTATTTGAAGTATACCTGTTCTTTGTCCCCCTCCATTTCTTTTCAGTCAACCAGCTTCTTTCGGCCTATCTCTCACACTTCTCCCTCCCTCCCCCTTTCTTCCTTCTTTCCACAAACTTAACTGAGCACTTTCTGTGTACCAGGCACTGTACCATGTGCAGAGTTTGTACAGTTGAAAGAGATATGGATCCTTCACCTTGCTCACTCCTCTCAACTCTCTTGCCTATTTGCCTTTCTGCAAAGCCCCACCTGTTTCAAGCAAACAGGCTACCTTCACTTTGTATCCCAAATTAACTGCTTAAGCTCTACTCTGCTCCTCTCAGTCAGAATTCTCCAAAACGTAGCCACACCTGTTGTATTCACTTCCAAAGTTCTCCCTCACCCTTCAACCCACTGTTGTCGGGCTTCCACCTCCACTACTCCACTGAGTCATCAAATGGTCTTCCTAACTGTAAAATGCAATGAACACTTTCCAGACTTGACCTCTCACATGTTTTGACACTAGCTGTGGACCTTGGGAAATCACTCAACCTCTTTGAACCAGTTTCCTTATCACTGAAAGGAAAGATAATAGCATCTTCCTGATAAAACTGTTTAGAGATTCAATAAAACAGTGTATAAAGAAAAAAAATCCACTGGTATACAACAGGCATTCAACAAAGATTAACTCATGACTCTATTCTGAGTTTGGTTTCTGAGGTCCCTGACAATCAGAAAGGGTTTGCCTTGGCTAGTATGAGCATTATGGTCTCTGGAAAGGATCATTTCCCAGGGCAATTCATTCATTCAACAAAAAATTATTGAGCATCTACCATGTGCCTGTTCTAGGCACTGTTCTAGGTGCAGTGGTTATAGCAAAGAACAAGACAGAGAAAGGTCTCTCTAAGAAGGAGGCATTTAAGCAAAACCTGAATGATAAGAAGGAGGAAAGCATGTGAAGATCTGCGAGAAGCAGGGCCAGATTACCCAATAAGCAAGGTACGCACTGGCCCAGTTGTGCCTTCCCACCAATCTGCAGTGCACAGTTTCACCTGTCCCCCACCACTATCCAAGATGTGAAACCTGTGTGAAATTGCTCACCACAGATTAGCAAGTAAATACAATTAATTAAGCCCTTGCGTACCTTGCTCAGTGCAAGCCAGTGCATACCGTGCTTACTGATTAATTCACCCGATTGAGAAGGATATTCCAGGCAGAAGTCATAGCAAGCGCAAAGGCCTTGAGATGAGATTGAGCCTGAAGTGTCTGATAAACAGTAAGAAAAACAATGTGGCTGGAATGTTATGAACAAGCAGGAGATAAGACTGGAGAGGTAGGCAGGGGTCAGATCACAGAGATTCTTGTAGTCATGGTAAGAAGGTTAGATTTTAATAGGAAGACAGTTGAGATTTTTAAATTTCAGAATAATACGATCTGATTTACATTTAAAATGGCTCATTTTAAAAAATTTATGTGAGAATAGACTACAGGGAAGCAAAAACAGAAGAAGTGAGGCCATTCAGAAGGTTGCTACAATAGTCCAGGTGAGAGATGATAGCAGATGGACTAGAGTAGGATTAATATAAATATGGAGGATAAGAAATGACCATGTGAGGAATATATTTTGAAGGTACAGTCAGTTGGACTTGCTGATGAATTAGTTGTAGGGGAAGAAGAAAATAAAGGAATAAAAAAATGACTCTTCGATTTTTTACCTGAGCAACCAGGTGAACAGTTGGGCCACTTACTGAGACGAGCAGGGGAAGAGCGGGTTTTGAAGAGAAAATTGGTTTATACATCTGCCTCTTAGAGTTTGGGTAGAACAAATCAGTGCCTAAATCTTTCCAGCTCTGAGTACCCTAACAGTATTGGATCTGCTAAGTTGAGGATAAGCCTCAGAACCCTGGTAACCCCATTAACCAACCTCCTCAACCAGTGAGTGCAATCAGCCCCTTAGCACTTCTCTCTGATCTCTCTCTTTTCAGCATAATTGTTACATTTTATGTTGATCCCTTTAAGGTACACACTTGACCTCAACAATTACATGTCTTTAAATCCTACTTCAAGGAGCGCTGGTGGCACAATGGTTAAGCGCTTGGCTGCAAGACTAAAGGTCAGTGGTTCGAACCTACCAGTGGCTCCTTGGGAGAAAAGACCTGGCTATCTGCTCCTGTAAAGATTATAGCCTAGAAAACCCAATGGTGTCCTTTAGGGTCGCTATGAGTCAGGATCGACTTAACAGCACCCAACAACAACAAACTCCATTTCAGGAAGATTTCTTGGAACAATTCACTTCATGGGGTGTGAATTTTTTTGAGTGTATATGTCAAAGTTCAGACCAATCATTCAGCAATCCTTTCTTGGCTACCTCTCCGGGACAAGCACCGACTTTGATGCAGAAAACACAGAGGAGAATCAAGTAGATAGACACCCACAACGTGATCAGGGTTGACACCAAGGAAGCACAGAAGCTGTGGGGACTAGGGAGGCCTAGGAAAGACTTCCTGGATATCATGCAGAACAGTCTTTCCTGCACATAGGGGTGCTAGGTTTTGCTCCTGATTTTGTCCTCATGAACTGTCTTGGGTGTTGGCTCTTGAAGCCCCTCTTGCCTTAATTCCAAGGAGCATTTCAGAAACGTTTATCGATAACATCCTTGGGCATTTCACTCCTGCCACGTTGGGCAAGTGGTGTTCAGTCTTTGGGGAGGTGACTATAGGTCTGTGCATGTTCTGTCTGCCTTCTGATAGGTGGAGTTGTGATGTGAGTAAAAGCCAGCCCAGGCAGTGGTGTGGGCCCAGGAGCTAGCAGTCAGAAGCTCAGCTTCAGCAGGGCTCACTGCAAAGGGTGGCTGAAGTCCATAAGGAAATGGGGGACCACCAAGCTACTCTTGGAAGAGGCTCGTGCCTTGTAAAAGGTTCCTCCACAGCCAGTTGGTGAAGTTGAAGTCCTTCCTGCATCCCACTCTTTAGCCAAATCCTAAATGTCTCTCCTGTCTGCCCCTCCTCTCTACTCCCACCACCACCACTCTGGGGCAGACCTCACCACTTTTCACCAAGAAGATTACAAATACCCTCTCCCCCTTCCTCCATGATCTTTCTGTCTCCAGTTTCAACTTCAGTCAGCCTCGCAATTCAGCATCCATGCTTTTGCTGAAGCGCTCTTTCTAATACCTAGATCAGATTTTGTTTCTCTTCTGCTTAACACCTTCAATAGCTCCCCACTACTTTCAGGAAGTAAAACTGGAGATGTAGGCAGGGGCCAGGCTCCTTAGCTCCCTTGATCAGGTCCCTGCCTGCCTCTCCACCTTCCCCTTCACCCTGTCCAGTTCCCTGAAAATAACACTGCTGGCTGTTTCATAACTTGGAAGCTTTGTACATGCTGTTCTTCTGACTGGAATGCCCTTCTCCCATCCCTGTACATCTGATAAATGCTTATTCATCCTTCAAAATACTGCTTGGGTTTCACCTTCTCCCTGAAGTCTTCCTGTCTACTCTCCATTCCAGGGATTATTTACTCCTTTCTCTGCACCACATCTGCACATTGCTATCCTCAACTCAGTGTTACTTGTATCTCAGATTGGGAAACTGAGTCTCAGAATGTGGAAGTGTTACCGCAATAACACGGATTGGAGCCGCCTGCCGCAATAGCCAATTCTGAGACGGGGTGAGGTGAGCAGCAAGATGTTTATTATATATCGATATATAGGAGACAGAGGGGAATCGATTCCTCCAAAAAACCCATCTCCCCCACTGGAGATCGGCTGAAGTCTTTTATAGGGACAGGATTATGGATCTTTTGTGGTAGTTTCTCTTTGAGGTGATGATGTCTTAGATGAGTTAACCTTCTACTGGTATTCATAGAGGTTATCTGGTGACATCTTTGGGGATTATCTGGCGACATCTTGCTTTTTCTTGTCACAAGATGGGTGCTTTGTTTGGTTTTTCATTCTTAAATCAGTATCACTTGTTTTCCACCCTCCAGGGAGGAATACCGGTTAATCTTAAACCTTTTTGTAGGGACTAGAACGGACGGAAAAATCACGAGACAATGTGGCGGTTAGCAATGGGGAGTAAATAATAGTGAGCCAGGCCTATACAGCCTCTTCCAGAAGGGGCTTACCCAGGCTTTCATGGACTCAAATTCAAACAAACCTGATTCCTAGACAAGTTCCGTGTCCACTGCACCCCATTGCCCCTACAAGTTTTGGGGGCTGAAACAGCAACATTGAACATCTGCCCTTACATAAGTAAGCTCTGCTGTAATTCTCCTGATGTTCCTGAGGCATTCCAGGAAGGAGGCTGGACAAAGGGACCTCCCAGATCCTCTGAGCTCTGATATTTGATGAAACACAGAAACTTTTACTATCATGATTGTTGCTGTTGTTGTGTGCCGTCGAGTTGATTCCAACTCATAGCGACCCTCCAGGGTTCACTTGTTTGAATTTTCAGGTTGAAGGGAAGGGAACATTTTTCTGCACACTTACTATATACTAAGGACAGTGCTTTACACACTTTATTTTATATTAATTTTTTTAATTACAAGGATTATATAGAGACGGAAACCGAGAGCACAGGATAAAGCGACTCGCCCTCGATCATACAGCTAGGAAGTAGCGAGCAAGAATTTGAACAATAGTCCTTCTGGCTCTGAACCGGGTCCCAACTGAGAAAGCTAGCCTGAATGCAGGAGCAGGGAGCTGAGGAGCAGCAGGTCTGGTCTATCGTCCCACCTTGGCCGGGCTGCTTACCTCCATCTTCGAACTCCTCCCATAAGCAGACCTGGCGCTGCACCGGCGGCCACAGCTTGCAGGCCGCCAGCAGCAGCGGCAGCAACAGCAGCCCCTTCATCCCACAGAGCCCGGCGTCCCCGCGCCCAGTCTCTGGGTGCTATTAACACAACCAGGTGCTCTGCGCTGCTGCTGCCACCGCCTCTACCCAAACCCTACAGCAGGGACTGGGATCACCTGCACCCCGCACCTGGCCACCTCCCATTTGCAGCCTTGGGGGTAACAAGACCGCAGCCAATGGCAGGGCACCACGCGCAGAGAGTGCTGGAGGATGGGGGAGCGACTGGGGGACTGACTGATTAGGTGTTGAGGGAGCTGCAAGGCAGGGTCCCTAGGGAGTGGCACATTGTCAGGGCCAGCTGAGGCCAGCCTCTGGGGTGAACCTGGGATCCACCTGCTCAGCGTTGGTGTGTAACTGGTTTCAAAGTGCCCTGGCATGCTTCCTTCCAGCATGCCTCCATCCCTCCACACCTTCACCCTTCCTTCCTGCCTGCGTGCCTGCCATACATCCATCTACTCTGCACAAAAATAATAACACTGTAATGTCTATTTAAAAAAATAATTTATTTTATTTGTTGTTGTTGTTGTTGAGAATATACACAGCAAAAACGTACACCAATTTGTTTCTACATGTACAATTCAGTGACATGGATTACACTCTTCAAGTTGTAAAACCATTCTCACGCTCCTTTTCTGAGTTGTTCCTCCCCCATGAACATAAACTCACTGCCCCCTAAAGGTTCCTGTCTAATCTTTCGAGTTGCTGTTGTCAATTTTATCCCATATAGATAGATCTTAAAAGAGCATAATGCTCAAGGCAGGCATTCTTTACTAGTTAAGCTAAACTATTGTTCGGTTTTGAGAAGACTTCAGGGGATATTTTTGGTTTAAGGTTTAAAGATCATCTTACAGCAATAGTTTCGGGGTTCATCCGGCTGTCATGCCTCCGAAAACTATGGATTCTATGTGAATATGAAATTATGTTCTGCGTTTTCCCCCTTTTGATCAGGATTCTTCTACAGAATCTTTGATCAAAATGTTCAGTAATGGTAGCTGGGCACCATCCAGCTCTTCTGGTCTCATGGCAAAGGAGGCAGTTGCTCATGGAGGCAATTCGTCACACATTCCATATCCTCCCCCTATTCCTGACTCTCCTTCATCCTCTGTTGCTCCAGGCAAATAGAAACCAATTATTGTGTCTTGGATGGCTGCATGAAAGCTTTTAAGACCCCAGGCACTATGCAGCGAACTAGGAGGTAGAACAGAAACACTAAACATGTTATCAGGCCAATTAACTGGGATGTCCCATGAAACCATGGGACCTCCAAACCAAGGAACCAAATCCCATGAGGTGTTTGGTTGTACACAGTCTCAGTAGCTACTCTTTTTTTTTTTTGGTCATTGTTATAAATATATCCATCACACAACTTTGCCAATTCAACTTTTTACAGGTGTACAATTTATTGACAGCAATTACATTAATCGACTGTGCAACTGGACCCTTAATCAATGTAATTTTTCTGTCACCATAAACTGAAAATCAGTACTCTGTAAGTAATAATACCCCCTTCCCGCACCCCCCCCACTCCTGGTAACCACTAATAAACTTCGGTTCTTGTCTTTTTATATAACTGAGGTCATACAGTATTTGTCCTTTTGTGATTGATTTATTTCACTCAGCATAATGGCTTCATGCTCCATCCATATCGTAGCATTATGTAATGTCTATTTATTTTAACAGAGAGAAATCCAGGGCCTGAGGGGACCCAGAAGAGGCCCCTAATCTGGCATGAGATCTCAGGGAAGACTTCCTGGAAGAGGTGACACTGAGATTAGCCTGCTGGAAGAAATGGGGGGTAGGGGAAAAGCAGAGGGAATATTATGTGCAAAGGGCTGAGGAGGGAAAGACTTGTAAGTTAATATCACCTCTACAACAACCCAATATTGTGCAATTGCTATTATTTCCCCTATTATGAGGAAAATGAGGCTCAAAGATGGAAAGAAAATCATCGACATTTGTTGATCATCATCTATTATGTGCTAAGCACTGTGCCAGGCACTTACCATGTATTAGATAATTTCTCACATAAATTTTGTGAGATGGGTATTATTATGCTCACTTTACAGATGAGCAAACTGAGGCTCTGAGAGACAAAGGCACTAGCCAAAGTCACACAGAGATGGAATAGTGGCTAGAACTCAGGCCTTCTCATTCTAGTGCCTTCACTACACCTTCATTTCCCTTCCCTTATCTATTCAAGTATCTATTTATTGAGCTCCTACTATATGCCAGGCACTGAGCTAGGTGCTGAAGATACAATGGAGAAAAAGGCTGACAAGTCTCCTGTGCTCACAGGGCTCACTTTCTAGTGGGGGTGACAGAAAATCATCAAGAAATCAAATAAATATCAGATAATGACATGCACTCAGAAAAATTAAAACAAAGTAATGGCTTAGAAAGTTAGAGAGAGACAAGGGAAGCCTGACTTTAGACAGAGAGAAGAGGGGATCAGATAAGTCTTCTTTGAGGTGATACTTTGGTTGGGATCTGAATGAGAATTCATGTATTGATCTGGGGACAGGTGTTGCAGGCAGAGGTAACATCAAGTACAAAGACCCTGAGAAGGGAATGAGTTTGTCTCATTTGAGCAATGGAAAGATGGTTAATGTACCTTGAGCACAGTGAGCAAGGAGGACAATGGTGGAAAAGGGTTGTGTCAAGGATGGACCTCAAAGGGGCTTATAGACCATGGGAAAGGTTTAAAACTGGTGCAATGGGAAGCCATTGAAGGGAGTGACATCATCAGGTTCATACTTTAAAAAGATCACTTTGGGCGTCCCGGCAAAATGGTGCTCTAGGCAGAAGCACCACGCCATCCCTCCACAGCAAAGATCCGAAAAACTAAGGCAAACAGAGAATACAACAATCCTGAAACCCTAAAACATCAAATGAAGAGATAAAGAACTCAGCGAAGCACCAAATGGAGTGAGAAAACTGACAGAGAAT